ATAGCTGTGCCAGATGTCCTGGAAGCAGCTAAGGATGCAGATGTCCTTGTGTTCGTCATACCACATCAGTTCATCAAGAACATCTGCAAGCCGCTGGTGGGTCAGCTCAAACCCACTGCCGTCGGCATCTCGCTTATTAAGGTCAGTGGTCATTGTCTGTAAGTGTGTTGTCCCCTCCTAGTCTGTGATGAATGGGTAGAGGCTAGTATGTGAAGATTTTAGAGTTAATGAATAGTTTAATTAGTGGTGTGGTATTAAATATTTGTATGCTTTAGGAAAACTTAGTTATTGTGTTTTCTTTCTGGGAAATAGCTAAGGCAGTTACTTGTGTATACAGGCTTCTATTTGACCCCTATTTAATGTGCAGAGTAGCATGATTATAAGAGAATGAAATCTGTCCTGATGCACAGCTAAATTTAGTGAAAGGAAAAAAATATAGAAGGTCTGATTAGAAACTAGAAGTTATCCCTGTCAATATAACTTTCATAGAAAATGATCCAATTTTAGGGCATACTCTTAAAAGTCGTATGTATTGCATGAAAGGTTTTTGTAGATTTTGTACAAATCAGGGAGACTTTGACATTTTTGTTCAAGAATGTTTTTTTATGTAAATTGCTACAGTATCTGTAAAATTATGAATCTAAATACTTCAAAGAACTGACAGTTATACATGTTGAATTTGGAATTTTCCCAGTTTTCATTTTTATTTTCATTTTTTTCTTATTGCTTTCATTCTATAGGGTTTTGACATAGCAGAAGGTGGTGGTATTGCCCTCATCTCTAAAATCATCTGTGATTTCGTACATGTTCCAATGTCAGTCCTTATGGGAGCCAACCTTGCAGGAGAAGTAGCAGATGAAAAGTTTTGTGAAACGACCATAGGTAAGGAATTTGTTCTCATGATCCTTTGCATTTTACAGGTGAAATTAATGGTTCATTGCTATGTGTTTGCATCACATTGCAAAAGTAATTAAGATCATGTATTTCTCAATTCCATTCTGATGGTTAATTCCATACACGTAATAGTTAAATGATTCATGTAGTACATAGGACAACTCTCCCAAAAGCTAAAACTTGTGTTCCTCTTCCCCTTTTCTGACAGGTTGTCGCGACCCTGCAGTAGGCCGGATGTACAGGGACCTTATCCAGACAGATTACTTCAGAGTTGTTGTTGTTGATGATGTTGAAGCCGTTGAAGTATGTGGGGCTCTGAAGGTTGGTATTTATTATAGTGGCATTTCTTTTTCTAAGAATCCATATACTTCCACTGACCAGAGAAAAACAGAAGTGTTTTCAAGCGTATGAGCGTAAGTGATAAAATTTCAGTATGTGGTCACTTGATTGCCTTTCAGACATGCTATCATCTTTGCCTTTTGACTAAGAATATCATGGACTTCTCTTTCAGAATATTGTTGCCACTGGTGCTGGATTTATTGATGGTCTTGGCTTTGGTGACAACACAAAGGCAGCTGTGATTAGATTAGGCCTTATGGAAATGATCAAATTTTGTGAAGTAAGTCTGAAAAGTATAATAATAAGTATACTTTTATATGATAGCTTAGATTCATACAATTGTAATTACTTTTGTACTAAGATATACAGTTGCAAAGCATTTGTGTAAAGTATTTCTGATGAGAAGTATAGTGTCTAATGTTCTGTCTCTTTTATAACAGGTATTTTATCCAGGTTCTAAACTAGGCACTTTCTTTGAAAGTTGTGGAGTGGCTGATCTTATCACAACCTGCTATGGTGGCAGGAACAGGAGAGTAGCAGAGGCTTTTGTTAAGACTGGAAAGGTAATTTTTTACATAAGTTCACATGTAGGACTGTTGTTTGTTACCCATTGATGTGTCATTACTGGATACTGAATATTCACTTCTGTTGTTTGTTATTTCATCATGCATTCATTCATATTTTAGGTAATTACATATGGATTGATTGTTGTTGTTGAAAACAACATGAATATTTTGTTAAGGTAGATGATGATGTTTTATTTTTTCTCTATATTTTAATTCTGATCATCAGAATTAACCTAATGGCAAAAAATTGTTCTGAAAGTAACAAAGATGAACCAACAAACTTTTTTTTGGTAAATACAAATATTAAGAAGGATATTTATGTATTATAGGGCACTGATGATCAGTTAACTTTTTTTCTAAACATTTTGTGAATGTTATTTGTAGGAATCCTAACCCTTAAGTCATAAGAAAAGATTTCATAGTTCATTTTAGCACTTTCAATACCTTTGGATCTGATACCATGCAGTATAGGTTATGTGAATGCAGTCTTTTATATTAGACAGGGCTTATTTTTTCTTATTACATACATTATGACTAAAGCTGTTAAATTTGTTACAAGAAATTATGTCAGCCTGCCATAGAAAAGAATGCAAGAAATATAGATTTCCAACAATTCTTTGTTTCATTCTTTTCTAAGATCACTCTCACTGCATTAAAATTTCAGACAATCGAAGAGCTGGAAAAGGAGATGCTGAATGGCCAGAAGCTACAGGGACCACAGACTGCTGAAGAAGTAAATTACATGCTTAAGAACAAGGGGATGGAAGATCGGTAAAGCTGAACTTTGGTGTTCCAGAAATAACTGTAGTATAAATCAGTAAAATTTAAAAATTTATTGTTAAACGCTGCTTGCTTCAGAACTTTCATAGATTCCTTAGACATTGATGTATACCATTATTATTGAGGCTGATTAAAGATTTTGTTGTCCTTGAACATCATATATTTGAGCCTTTCTGAAATAGTGATTATATAGTTTATCTTTTGTTTTGCAATTTTTCATGGACATATTACCTAGTTCTTGGACTCCTCAGTATTAATTCTGATTTCCTTTATCTTTGTATTTGTCTATTGATACTATGCAACATCCTACAGGTTTCCACTTTTCTCCTCCATACATCGTATTTGCAAGGGCGAAATTCCCCCAGCAGATATGGTAAACTGCATCAGGAACCATCCAGAACACATGTAAGCCATTTTCTTGTTATCTTTCTTTCATATCTTTTTATCAGTTGTGTAGTTGGATTTGTGACATGCTTTTATTTTTATTTGATTACCTTTTGAAGTATTCAGACCTTTCAATTTTAAGATGCAGCAAGATGGAAAAGAATATTAGCATTTGGAGGAATGGTATAAATGGGAACAAGTAACTCCACAAAGCAGGTAAAGTAATGAATACATTTCAGTGTTGTATCTTCATCAGGATTATGTAATTATGTAATACCGATGAAGATATGGCACGAGGGTGCATTAATTACATCTCTTGTGAAGTTGTTCTTACTTACACTTATCCTGCATTTGTCAGTGAAATCCATACAAGATTAGCAGTGATAAGGGTACTTTTATATGCATATAAAAGTTAAGTTGACATGTTTTGAGCAAGCATTATGCAGTATATAGAATAAAGAATTGCTAAGATTTTGCTGCATTATGAATTGTTTCTTGTTCCAGTGAACTGTTTCACTGGGGACTGCCCATGTTTGCAACAGCTTTCCCTTTATTGAAGTGTTACTTCAGTTGAATTTCATTTAATGTAGACTTCATTTTTAAATGTTTTTAATTTAAAGATGGCAGGTAATATTTTCCATATACTCTTTTCATAAAAGGAATAATATCCACACGTTGAATATCATATTTTCCCCTTTCCTGACCTGGTAGTACTATCTAGTGTCATGCAATAAGTATGTTCTTTTAAATAGGTGAAGAAGTAGATTATCTTATCTTTTGAAGTTCGAAGTATTGTTATGGATTTGAATAATTTTCCATCTGATTTTGATATATTTGTAGTTAAACTTTTAACTGAGACTATCACACACCTGAACTCTATGAGCTAATAGGTCTTTTATGGTTATAACCATAACCATACAAATTAGGAAATGTGCATAGGTAGAAACTGGAAGACACTTTTGAGACCTCAGCCCATAAAACAACTAAACTTATTTGCCAAGGGACCTGACAGCATCTCGGGTAAACACTTCATGGACTTCAGTTAGCATGACAATGACATTCCTACACTTACAGACATTGCAAATTTCTCATACCAACATTGCAAAATACTCATCATCTGGGAAACTGTCAAAATTATTTTATGCAGACCCAACATAAGAACAATAGACTCCTCCTCATGTACAAAAAAATAACACAACTCTGTACAGCAATAGGAAATGCAGGCCTATTCACAACAAGGTCAAGTTGTCATAAACAATGAACAAAATCTAATGTAGTACCCTTTTCAGTATATACATTTACCAGCACCACTACCTAACATATAGATATTACAATAGCTTCAGTTCTCGATAATGTGGGCACATTCCTAACACAAGCATAACATTACATTTAAACACATATGCACAATGCCTCACCCACAGCATACTTAATGTTACATGTTCAAAATCCACAATGACACTATTAACCAGTTACTCAAAGGAGTGCCAACACTTCCCAGCCACCATGCCAAACAACACGCAAACACAAAACAGAGGTTCTTTTTAATATACAACACTTCCATGTTATTCATCCCATACTTAACAGACATCATACTCACAAGCTCTCACAAGGTACCATTTTCAACTGACAAAAACAAAAAAAAACAGTAATACTGCCTTGATGGGCTTCAGTAATATTTGAAACACTACTTCACAAACTGTGACATATACAATCACATACAGAATGGCCAGTAGTGTCTCATGAAGAAGAATGGACCACTTGCATATGATGAGTAGCTACAACAAAACCTTCATATTAGAGGTATGTAGTTCATAGCCATATTACACCCATGCCACTATTTGTCTTGCACATCTGCTGGCACCATGCCATTTAGTACAGACATCACAAAGGTGCTATACAGCATATCCAATATTGCATTTCCATCTACAAACTCACACACAAGCACTTTACCAAACAAGACTTATCCCACACAAGCCCAAACTTTTATGAAAATCTCCCCTCACTCAGCACATGCACAGACACCTGCCCGAAATGCCAGTCTCCTTTCACTATTACTTGCATCCCTAAGGAGCCCATACAGTAAACAACACACAACATCAGGATCCTAACAATAGCTATGAAGTGGCCCAGGACCTCCAACAATAACATTGTTGGATAATATGATATACTTACACATTTTTTGATAACAATGAGGTACTTGAGTGTCTATACAGATACTGGAATGAAGAGCAGGATTTATGACTTAGTATCTTATGGGTCCATTCATCAGTAGAGAATTAAATTTAAACCATTAAAATGTTCAAATTTGTACTGGTAAAAATACACATACCAATTCATCCTCATGAGTTTCAAAATATCATAATATAGCCTCTTTTAATGTTAAGCATTAACTAGGAAATCCTATATCAGGCTATAATGAAGAAATAAAGATTTATTCTTTTGAATAATCACTACTCGGATGCAATAAATACTGCCAGTAAGCTAATAAGTATGCTACCAGATAGGCACAAGAGATATTGTATGCCATCTCCAATGGTTCATGCCAATGTTGTCGCTTAGAAATTGTTGAAATGTTTTTTCTACTAGAATCATAAACTTCAAGATAGTCTTGAAATGGATATGAAATAGTTTAAATTTATATGTATTCTGTTATTTTATTTTACATGCTACATGTGATAACTACATTATTAAATCTTGTGATGTTTGTGTATATTTAAATTATGTATATACTGACTGTTAGAGTTTTTATTAAGTTTTAACTCTTTTACGTACCATGAAAAGTAACTTTAGGTATTTAGAAATATAAAGATTATTCTTATTTTCTAAGATAATGCCTTGTAGTCACTAAGCATATACATTACTTTTATTCTAAGACTAGGTAGGATTTAAACCAGTGACAGTTAATTTTGGATAGGGATATGATGATATGATTGAATCTTGTTTTTCTGTCCTGTTTGCATGTTGCTTTGGCTTACCGATGGAATAGTCTTTATTTTATTAAGTTTATATTCAATTATTTTCTTAGCTGTTCTAAAATTATATCTTAATACTCGCAGAAGTTACTCATGATAGACATTATTTATTGTTATACTCTCCTGAATCTGATTTACATTATGCTAATCCTCTTTTTGTTATGGCTAAAAACAATGCTGAAATAGATTTTTACACATGGAATTTATAAATTATCAGACAAAGTTTTATAAATATTTATAGACACTTCCTCTCATAACTAGTAGGAATTATGGTTAACGTTGATATTTTAATGGTAAGGTTATAAAATCTGTAATGAAATTCAAAGCTTAGTGGAAAGGGTGTGTTTGTTTAGTGGAATGGAGTGTGGAAAAAAGCCCTGTGGTTTCCATGCAGTCAGTATTATTTGATTAAGAAATATTACCCACAGTGAGTTGATTGCATTAGCCATGCTTTCCATAAAGCTAAAGGTGGTTTTCTACAAATGTCTAACAAAATTATTTTATCCAGTGAACATTCTCATGAATGAGTTCCTGAAATTATGCTTGTGTAGAAAGTATTTCAGTGGTAAGAAAATTAGATATTATATAGGTGACAGTTTATCATGACCTCTCCCTGCTTTCCATGATTATTGAATTCTGTCTAGCTGCTGTATACCTGTTGACTCTCTTTACTCTGACTTCCTGTGTTTTCCACCACTAGGGAACCAAACTGCTTTAAAATCTCGAATCCTCCTGGAATGGAGAGTTAAGAGGGAAGGCCTCTTTTGGGAACCACTTCTGGTACGCATTATAATAGGTAGCTTTGCACAATGAGAATTAATTTTTTTATGGATGTTAGTGTTTTTTGTAATGACATTTTATTTTATTTCAACTTGAATGTTAATGTAAGCATATGATGCATTTGTAGTCTGTGATTTTATACATTTTCTTTTCTGCTAGAGGAGTAATGTCTTTTTCATAGCAGTACAGCAGTAATGATATAGCAGGTGTTTGCAAAATCTTTTGGTGGATATATGTATTACAGGGAATAGTGAAAAATGAATGGTGTTAGTTGCTCAGATGGTTGTTTTTTCAGTGAAGTTTTTAGGTTTACTGTGTTTACCTATATATTTATTTTCATTTATTTCTTTGTTCATAATCATTATTAAGATTTTATTTTTACTTTGAGGTGAATATATTTTTACGTCTTTTTCCTTGTTTTTTCATAATTGTCTTCATTATGATTTGGTATTTGTTTTCCCATTTTATATGTTTGGTTTATACAGGTAGTATTATCTACAACTGCACAGACATATAATAGCACCTGTTTTGTGGAGCAGAGAAACTGAACAAGAAAACTCAAAAAGGAAATCATGATGTATTTATTAGTGTTCCAGAATTCTCATGAAGCTGATTATTTATGTGAATATGTATTGCTGCCCTTGGATGCATATAAATAAGCAAAACTCTAGAAAATTAAATTTTATGTATATGTAAGAAAATTATAATTATGATAATAGGGATTATGATAGAAAAAGGTTTTAAGTATTTCAGCTTAACTAGTAAAAGGGATTTAGGCAGTAGTTGAAGATATTGATAAGTTGAATATTATTGTAGAGACTAAAAAAAAATCCATGTTGAATTTTTAAAAGGTGATGTATTTTGTTCAAATTGATTTTGTTGGTACATTTAAATTCAGTTGAGTATTTAGTGCAAGTATTGTTCAGTAAACTTTTTTTTGTCTTGTTCTTTTTCATTCTATTATGTAACAGCAAGGTAGAATATTCTGTCACATCTCAGTATGGTAATTTCATTTGAAGTTTCAAGTAGGTATAGCAAGCATTTCCTATGTGTAAGAGTAAGAAAAGAAGAGAATGGAAGATGCAGAGAAACTGTTTATAAGTCCATAGGAATTAATTAGGGCTACTTAAGGGTGACTGAATGTGTGTTTGTGAATGTTGGGAGTTCATGATCTGGGGCTGTGTGCATTAGATTATACTCATCTCCGTATATTTATATATGCAGTATATGTGTGTATGAAATCCTTTATATTGTGTAGTTCTGTATTTA